TATGATTACATACTTACAAGAATTTTTCGACAAAGGATAGTGCCTGATCTTGGAATCAAATAAGTCTGCGTCTTTGACAGGGAAATGTCCACAATTTGCTCCTATTCGGGGGACAGCAGGTTTGATCAGCTCTCCGTAGGAAGCACCAGAAATGCTTGGAATCCAACGCGACAACAAAACCCTGTGGCACTTGATTTACCTGGAGAGGAGAATGATCAAGCGACAGGAGTTAGTACTATCTAGTAGAGACCGTTGTTTCTTATTTCACGAAAGAAAAGAGTCCAAAATTAGATGAGGGTGATAGTAACTCCCACACATGATGAGTTGACTTGCTATAGTAGGGCTGTAATCATCTGTCAGATACCCTACTTCTTGACCTCTTCGTAGTCTGCCTCCGGAACCCGGTCGCCACCCTGAGAACCACCAGAAGATGATGACCCGCCCGAACTTCCTGCCTTGTATGCTGCATCAAGCTTGGCCTTGATGCTGTCGATTTTGTCTCCTGCCATCTCTTTGCGTAGGTCAGAAGCTACCTTGGCCGGAATTTTATCCTTGTATTCGCTTAAGTTCTTTTCAATACTGTAAATTGCGGTGTCAGCACTGTTCTTGAGCATGCAGCTCGGCCTCCTTGACCATAGTCTCAATCTCATCCTCAGAGAGAGGCCACCTGATGAGCGAATAGTGATTTGCTGCTCCTTTCCAGTGGCTTTGTCTTTAGCAGAGACTGTCACAATACCCGAAATAATGAATTACCAAAATATAGGAAAAATATACATTGATATAGAGGACAGAACATTCAGCAGAGAAAATGCAAGTTAAAAATCTGTGTCAGTCTCTTCAAGTTGACTAAGATGAAATGATTATTGATCTCAACAAATTTTATATCTCAATGGCTTTGGCTATCGTTTAAGTTAAAAAAAAGAAAAAAAAAGAAGTAGGTAAAGGGGCTGCTCAAGAAATCAGGAAACAGAAAAGCGGATGTTAAAAAAGAAAAGACATCTTTAAATTTCTTCTAACAATTAAGCTACATCATGACCTAACACTGGCTAGTAAAGGATAGCTGCATGAATGTATATAACTTGAACTTCCTGGAGGCAGAGCTGTCACAATACTAAGTTCTAATATTTTCCTTGATGCATATTGAATATTACATATTGATCTGTTTTAAATCTTCTAAATCATACCTATGGTACTCATGCTAGGAGGATCTGATGTATCATGGTTTGAATCATCCGATATGGTTGAATACTTGAGTACATATTTAAAAATGAGAAAACAGTGACATGGTTATACATTAAACTGATTAAAGATAAAGATTAGTGTATTGATATATGAAAATTTTATTTAAGAAACATTATGTATGATTCAGGAACTAATTCAGCTTTTTTACAATTATATAAACCTTAATACTGTGTTAAATATTATTTTAAAACACTCAACATACAAAAGCATAAGCATCCCCCACGTGAGTCTACACCAAAAGTCTGGTAAGCTGTCTTCCAACAACGAAGAGGTGCTGTCGAGGTCCCTAGTCTTGAAGGCATAACTTAAGATAATTTAAATGAGTCAAGATTATAGAGATTCCTAGTCTTGAAACCATATCATAAGGCATTTTAGACAAGTCAAGAATATTACACACCAGTGTCGGGTTGGCATGGTGTGTGAATCAGAATTCATGACTCTGCATCTAGTGCCAGGACAGCACTTGATCACATGACTAGTATCCATATATGTTTAGTGCCAGTAACCAATAGGCTTGGCACATCCTTGATCATGGGTATCTGTACCATCAACCAAGAGTTTTGAAGTAATTTTCCCAAGACTTTGATCCATAAGAAAAAGAAGGCTAAGGACTTGTATTTATAATTTTGTGTAGATCAAAGACAGTGAATCTTTGCTACTTGATGTCACCTTTCATTTTTTGCCAAATTTGCTATATGCATAACTTCATGTTTTGACTAATAGAAACTTAAGCTCAATTCAACTATTTGAACTGAACCTTACCTGACTCTTCTTCGTGGGAATGGTTGTGTTCCTGTTGATCAGTCTCGTAAAGATACCACCAAGTGTCTCATTACCTAGGATAAGGGAGTGATATCTAAGAGGAGAAGCTCTTTAACATCTCCACGGAGAATACCACCCTGGATAGCAGCACCCATTGCAACAACTTCATGTGGATTTACTCCCTTGGTTGGAATCTTTCCAAAGATTTCCAAAACTATTTCCTGAACTTTTGGAACTCTAGTCATTCCACCAACAAGAACCTCATCAACATCCTTGGTACTTATGCTTGCATCCTTCAGACAGCTTTTACAGGGATTTATTGTTCTTCCGATTAAGTGATTAACCAAAGTCCCAAATTTTGATCTGGTCAGAGTGATATTCATATGTTTTGCTCCTGAAGCATCAGCTGTTATAAATGGAAGATTGATATCAGTCTGAGATGTTGATGACAATTCAATCTTAGCCTTCTCAGCTGCTTCTCGAAGCCTCTGCAGAGCCAGCCTGTCCTTTGAAAGATCTATTGCCTCTGTTCTCTTGAACTCATCAACCAAGAATTCTACCAATGCGTTGTCAAAATCTTCCCCACCCAAGAAAGTGTCACCATTTGCTGCCTTGACCTGAAATTGAAGTGAGATCATAAAGAAAATATACCTCAAATACCCCATTTGATATCTCTAATATTGAAACATCAAATATACCACCACCAAGATCAAAAACTGCAATGAGACCCTCCTTGTTGTTCAGCCCGTCAGCAAGTGCAGCTCAGTTGGTTCATTGATAATTCTTTGCACATCAACACCAGAAATTCTCCCTGCATCCTTTGTAGCCTGACGTTGCGCGTCATTAAAATATGCAGGAACTGTGATAACTGCCGTAGACACGGACTTCCCAAGATAAGATTCAGCAGTTTCTTTCATCTTTGTCAAAACAAATGCACCGATCTGGCTGGGCGAATACTGCCGACCATTGGCTTCAACCATGCATCCCCATTAGGTGCCCTCACGATCTTAAAAGGAACCATCTTCATCTCTTTCTGTGCCTGAGGATCATCAAAGAGGCGGCCTATCAGTCCCTTGGTCCCAAAAAGAGTGTTTGTAGGATTGGTCACTGCCTGACGTTTTGATGGAGTTCCAACAGGTAGTTCTCCCTTCTGATTAAAAGCTACAACAGGTGGCGTGGTACGAGCTCCTTCTGAGTTTTCTATAACTTTAGCATTCTGTAATAAACAAGAAAATTGTATAATCTTGTGGATTTAAACAGACTAACAAATTATCATATGCAAAAAAGGACTTTGGCGAAGACGACTGAGGTGCCACCTTTCCCTCCATAACTGCAACACACGAATTTGTAGTTCCAAGATCAATTCCGATTATATCATTTCCTGCTGGCTTTGAGCTGCATTGGAGAAAAACTTGTTCTTGGTGAAACAAACCAAAGAATACTAGAGAACTGTACTGTGATCACCTTAAAGGAGATAGTCTGAAAGTGCACTTCAACATTATATGCATAGGATGATACCTGAAGGGTCTAACCAAACTAGCCCCTCTGTGACCAAGACGAGAAGCACCCAACTGCATGCTTGCATTGCCAGATAACTGCAGAAACAAAGATGAAATATGAAAAGTCCAAAAAAGTGCATCACATCCATGTTGAGTCCATGTGGACACCAACACTTATCAGACCACCTTCACATGTTTGGGCAGTTCACATATCTAAGATTCTCATACCATGTAGATTTATTTAGATATATACACTGTACATATGTTGGGCAAACAAATCATCCATTTAAGGCTCTAAGAGATGACAAATCTTGAGATTGGCTTATTAATATTCAATCAATATGTTTCACATACTGTGAACATTTGCTACTCACATCATAATAGTAAGGAAAAATTTCAAGTACTTTATTGACTTTTGCTACGCTTCTCTGAAACAAAAATGATACACTAATCCTCAAATAAGGGGACAGCCCAGTGATGCAAGGACTAAATTCATCCACTATCACTATTACCCGCCTAGATGTTAGCTAACTAATTAGCCAAATAGTTGGGGCATTACCCAGCTAGCTAATAATTTCCAATGGAAACCAAAAGATCAGTCTAAGTTGAGGGTAAACCATGTCATACACATGACAACAAAATCCTGTTTCTACAATTGATTTCAGAACATACTCCTGTGGTCGGCTAAAATTAAATATACTATCGGTAGAGACAGTATGATGCGCAGAAACTTCAAATCATCAAGCAAACACTGAGCTAAATGCCAAATATACTTCACCCATTAGTAATTGACAAGATTACTTGGAATTGTTATATTTATCATCTACGCATAAGAGCATCACAGAAAAAAGAAAGATAAATTATATAGAAATGATGAACAATAGTAACAAATTGCATATCACCCTAACACAAAATGAGGTGAATCTAATACATCCGAAGTGGGAGGCGAATGGAACGTCCAAACGATGTCGAAAACAACACCAAAACTTTTCCGGAAAGCAATAGATTGAACCGAATCAAGATTACTAGATCCAAATCGCTTCTAGAGGTGAAAATTATCCAGGAAGGAACTCACGAATCTGAGGCGAGAGAACAGAGCGGGCAGCGGCGACAGATCGCGCCGTCTCAGAGCTCGAAGCATTGCGGAGACCGCCATCGATCTCCTCCCGAGGCGGAACCACGGGAGAGGGTTGGGTTTGGCGCTTCACAAGGGTTCTTGAGGCGATCGCCCGAGGAGGGCTTTGGTTCCGCTCAGCTTCTCTGATGAGGAAGGCAAAACACTCGAGAAGGCACGGTTCGGACGCTTAAATAGCAACTCGGCCGTCGACCAATTGGGAAATGGAGCGGCGTGGCCCAAGGCCAATTGAACCGATGGACCGGGTTCGGCTTACCGCGCTGATACTTCGGCATATTAAAACGGGCCAAAGCCGGTCCATTCGATTCACTGCCTCCGGTTATATTATATTATTTATTTATATCTACCTAATCCAATCTCAGTCTTTGATACATATTCACAATTTTAAACGATCAATCGATCTATATATATGCTGCCATTTCGAGGCAAAATTTGGCATGAGATCAGGACACAGGGCAACCTTCAATTATCACACCCTTGGCGGTGGGGCAAGAAGCCAGAGAGCAGCCATCCAAGTCATTCCCCCACCAGTTGAGGCTGATGTCTTCCAATCCCAAGCACAGGTACAGCAGCACGGCCATGAAGGCGAGGCCAGCATCCAAAGCCCCCGAGAGCACGTAGTTGTGCCGCGTCCACCAGTCGCGCCGGTAGCGGTAGACCACGTAGCCCGAGAAGAAGCCGACGATGATCCATGTGGTGTAGTTTACAGCCGTCGCCGGCGGCATCATGCCGGTGGCGCCGATCAAGACGGGCATGTTGATGAGACGGATCCAGTCCTGGCCTGGGAAGGCCTTGTGTGCCAGCCAGACGAGCAGCGGCGCCACAGCGCCGACCAGGAAGAACCAGTTGATGGCTGAGTAGGTGCCGAGGTCGCCGAAGATCCTGCGAGGGCCGATGAGACCCCATATGACGGACGCGTCGTAGAACACATGGTCGCTAGGGCACGTCCATGGGCTGTCCGAAGACAGGAGCTCGGTGTTGCAGATGTTGGGAATCGTCTCCATGAGCCACCATGCTGTGCCCAAGTAAACGATTGCCGCAACTAAGGTGCCTACAACCTACATTAATCATTAAGGCGGGTTCTGCATGTCAAAGAGATTTGAAGATCCATCGTGTGGTGAAACCTAAGAAGGAACGGTAGACGAACCTGAGCCATGAACATAGTTCGGGGAGGTATCTTCATGTAGTGCCCCAGTTTGAAGTCTTGCAAGAAAGTCAACGCCTGTGTCATACTGATATAGCCGTATACCTTAAAGCACATGTTGGCGACCGGGCGGCCGGGATACAGGTACCCCATGACGTATTCTGTAATGATGTTTAGGCCTGGCGTCTACTTCATCGATCGAGAGAGAATCAATCGGATTAGTTGACTTGGTGAAGGAGATGCATGCCAAGGAGTAGCGAGTACACACCTGGTTCGTGGTGGCCGTGATGATTCCGATGGGAAGCGTGAAGAAAATGGCAATGAAGCAGGCTAGCAGCACACCCCACCAGGGCAGCTGGAGCTGATCGATGTAGTACTCGCAGGCGAAGATGGTAAGAGCGATGTTGGCGACGAGGATGACGATGAACCACCACTGAGGGACCTGAGTGTATCTGCTCATCAGTTTCGTATGGATGTCCATCTTCTTCTCTTCGAATGCCGACTTGCTCATCTGCCATATCTCGCTGTGGACACGCAGTCAACTAGGTCATACGACGTAGAAATCTCTGCTACTCATCTGTCGGTACATGGAACCGTCAGCAATTCTGGTGGTGCCAAAGATTAATTACCTTCCGTGAAAGAGAAGGACATGAGAGATGGTGGCCGTGAGAGATGCGAAGCCGACGCCGTAAGTCACCGCGAAGAAGGTGCTCAGATAGAGCGGACCGTTCTTGTCGTAGGCCTCGATGTCGAGGTGGAAATTGGAGTCTATGATGCTCGAGATGTTGTAACTCTGCCCCGTGGAGGTGAAGAGGCCATCCGAGAAGATGGGGAAGGTCTTGGCGTCGTACAAGTCGAGCCAGTATGCGGTTGGGGTGACGACATACATGATGAGCACGAAGCCAGCGGCAACGTTGGCGGTAGCAAACCAGGGGCTGGCGAGTGGGCTGCCGAGGTAGGAGGAGATGGTGGACCAGTCAAGGCCAATGGCGCCGAGGCCGAGGCCGTAGAGACCAGAACCCAGCTGCTGGGCGAGGATGGAGTGGGGGAAGATCCAGCAGATCCAAGAGAGGGAGGTGAGCATGGAGAAGAGGTAGCCCGGGAAGACATAGTAGGCGAAGCTACATATGAAGGCCATCATGAAGAACTGGTTCCGGGTCATGCCGCCTTTGGCTCGATCTTCTCTCTCGTGCAGGGCCCTGCATGGGGACAGATGGCGAACTGTTCACGTCGTCTGCAACTGCACCGGTGAGTCTCACTTCTGAAACAAATGATTCAAGTATCCAAAAAAGTAGAGAAAAATATTCCGGGAGCTCCTAAGGTTTTACCAAAGATCCAGAGATAATACAGTGAAAAGATCTTCTAAATTCATATCAGACGATCTACAGAATATTAGGTATGAATTTGTAGTTTTGCAATCACAGAAGAAAAACTGTGTCCTTTTATTGCTTTCACAGACCAACTCACAAGCAATTTGTCAGATCTGAGCAATTGGGATGTAATATTCTACCTCTTGCACTAGAGTGGCTCTTGAAGTTGATTTCATCCAAGAAACAAGAAAATAACTACAGCTTAAATCTAATTCACATAGAGACTACTATCATTAAGATCAATAATTATGCTTGGTTGTGATGAGATGTCCAAGTAGATGCAAATCGGAATTAATTTTCCTGGTTGATTGGACCGCCAGTAGCAATCATCATCACTACCAACCAGTCTTTTGTCTTGTCCATTTATCATATTAGACAAGAGAAGGTAAGTAAATGGATTCTTACGAAGATCAAAATAGGTCGATGGCAGATGAGAAGAGATCGGAGATTCGTCCCTCTCACCTAAACAGAGAGACCTGCACCAAGTTGTACGGCCACCACATGGCCGCCGGCTCCACCAGGTACCGCCGGAATATCCCCGCCCACCCGAAACCGAGAACCTGGCAACATCACGTGGAGATCTTGACCAACCGGGAAACAAGGTAAGGCAGCAAGGGAGTGTGAACGGATCGTATGGGGACCTGTGTGGTTATGACGACAAGCAGGGAGACGAAGAAGGTGATGTGCTTTCCGTAGAATATCTTGACGGCGGTGACGACGTGGATGGCGTAAACGCTGCCGGCGCCGGAGTTGGCGAAGATGGTTATGAGGACGTGCTCCTTGATGTTGAAGGGCCCCGGGTTGAGCGTGAACTCCCACCGGCTTCCCTTGAAGAAGACGCGGTCGGTGATGGTGGAGGCCATGAGGTGGCCGAGGGGCACCACCGCAATCTGAGCCGAGATGGAGGTGATGGAGAGCGGCTCCTTCCTGTACCAGAAGAACTGGTTCAAGAAGGAGAGCAGCACGCAGGAGGCGGTGCCGAGGACCCACATGCGGAAGGTCAGGACCGGCATCGTGGGGTCGTCCTCCACCGGCACCGTGAGTGCCACCTGCTCGATGGGTGAGTTCTCCTCCTCCTCTTCCACCTGATCCGGCGGAGGCGAGGAGGAGGAAGCGGCGGCGGTAGGGAGATCGGAGGGGACGACTGCATGGTGAGTTAGGATAAGAGAAGAAGCGGGTGACAGAAAGAGAGATCGATAAGGTTACGTACGCAGAGGAGCTGTGATCTGGTTGGGATCCTCTTCTCGTTCTTGGGGGTTGTCCATTTTGGTAGCTATTCCTTCTCCTCTTCCTCCTCCTCTTTAGCTCTTCTCTTTGTAGATTGTATGTGCAGAAGGAGGAGGATATGGCGTTGTATCATTACTATTATTGGCTACATTTAAAGCTGATGTGTGTGTGGATGTAGACATGCACATGTCGTTCACGTGCCAGCATTTCTTGGAGTTCATTTGGAGAGTGGAGTGTGCGGAGAAGTAGACGGATGTAGTGAAAGACATGCTTGATGCAGAGAGAGGTTGTGATGTGATGATGATGGTGGTGTTTCGTTCCATTGTCCATCGCTTGCGTCGTATAGTTCGGGATGAGCATTTTGTGTGTGTTTTATCTATCCTCTGTAGTTATCATCTGTGCCTCCATTTTGGCGGAAGAGAAGGGAGCAGATGGCCCCCAGCAGCCATTCCTATCTGCCAGTCTTAATGGACAGGGAAGAGCAAGAGAAGGAAGAAGAGAGATTCTACTGCCGATAAAAGACGACAGGACGTTTCGTGGAGTCTCCGCCACCCCTTCCTCCTCGCTTCGTACCGTAGGCAGCCTTCATTGTGCGTGGAATTCGCACCGCCCCTCCTTCCACCCTCCTATCACGAGGGATGGCCAATGGTTTCGGGCTCCTTCGTCCAGACGAGCACCGTATCACCAGTTTGACTGATGGATGAGCTAATTGATCATAATATTTAATTAAAATTTCATTTTAAAGCGTATATAAAAGATAAGGGTGATTTTCGAAAAAGAAAAAACAAAAAAAATCCAATTTTGACTCTTCCTATTTTCATAACACAGTTTCTATCCTTTTCAAAAGTCTAAAATATTTTCTTATAAAAATAATTATTTAACACGAGAAATGTCATAACGAAGGAAATCATATCACATGTAGCATTTTGTGGTTTCCAACTACCAAATCAACTAACTTTATATTCAATATATATTTCCTCTGAATTTATTTATTTTTTCTTAATTTTGCCATTTACCAACAACTGCCCGTCGCTTTCACTTTCCTTCCCCCTTTTTCTTGTTCTCGATCTATCCGCGTCTCTATCCTCTGGCTTCCAATTCTTGCCTCAGATAATCTATCAGAGGCGGCGGCGGCGGCGGCGGTGTCGATATATATATATATATACACAAATATTGTTTTGGACATTGTTGTGGTTGGGAAACTCGATTTTAGGTCAGTTTTTTCCTCCCCGATTGTCGATTGAGGTTGTGGTTTCTGTTGGGGGTTTTTAGGATTTTTTTTTGGTGTGTTTTGATGTTCTTTACCTTCTTGATGGTTTAGATTCTTAAAAGTGTGATCTTGTTGTGTGTGCTTGATTGGAACAGTGGAGGACCAGAGCTGGGGGCAGCGATCGATGGCGAAAATGGTCGGGCCTCGAGTTTACAGCTGCAGTCATTGCGGAAACCATGTCTGCCTTCACGACGATATCATATCGAAGGCTTTCCAGGTGAAGCTCTTATCGTAGATAATAATGATTGACAGACGCTGCAAACCTAATTTTTTTCTGTTCCTTGCGGTATCTCAACTCCACGCATTTGCTTAATAGTGAAACCCGGTGTTTGAATCGAATCATTTTTTGCTGATTTTGGAGATTCATGGTGTTCATCTTTAGTATTTTGTTTGAAGCTAGCATTTTGACATGATCAAAGGGGACTGCTCTTAGGTCAATCAATTCTTTATTTGCGTCCTCCATATGGTGATTCTCACATTTGATGAATTGATTTTATGATCTTTGTTCTACATGCTTTAAATGTGTTGTAGGGGAGAAATGGGCATGCATTTCTGTTTTCTCATGCCATGAACATTGTTATGGGGCCAAAGGAAGACAGGCAGCTAATGACAGGACTGCATACAGTTGCTGATATATACTGCCGTGATTGTGGTGAGGTGTTGGGATGGAAGTATGAAAGAGCTTACGAAGAGACACAGAAGTATAAGGAAGGGAAGTTCGTATTTGAGAAGCTAAGAATCATCAAGGAGAATTGGTAGTAAGAGTTTAAATGGATGGTGAAGCTTCTGATGCGAGTTCCCTGTCTGCATAAGACGGTTGTCTCTGCGATCTGAATCCTCTGATAGAGCCATATATTCTTGTGCATAGAAATGTCGCCTAATTGACGATTGTTGAACTTTATATAAATACCAGACTTGTGGTCTCGGAGATGTCGGTCCTGCCACCATGAAAACAATTGCTTATCGGTTAGGCATATGCGTTTAAGTAATGTTTCATGATTTATTTTGCTGCAATCTGCCTAACAATGAGCTTTAGCTTCATATAGTTTAGCTGCTTAACTAGTCTCAATTGTCACTTTATTATATTTGATTTGGAACGGTGTGCATTATAGTCAAAAGATAAAATAACCATGCCTCTCTGAACAATAATAATTTGAGTTGGGATGTCTCTCTTCAACAATTAGTTGATTAATAGATCAAAGGAGAAAACACCCTCATCAGTCACCAAAACACGCATAAAATGGTCTAAGATTGTATCGACATGTTGCATGATACTTGGAAGGGGTGGAATCAAATGCTAACAAGATGCTTTAGTCAAGGTCTAGTTTTGGTAAGTTGCATCTTTTGGCTATTGCTCTTGACATCTGGTGAACTCCCTGCAGCAGCTATTGTTAAAGTACAACTCCTTTCTTTCTGCCAGTTTAGCTTGAAATTGATTGACTGTTGACTATCATCTTCTTCCTATGTGCCCTATGGAAGTTATATAACTCATTCCTTGAATTTGTTGAATTCCAGGAAGTTGATGCTCCATGGTAATGCAAATTCCAAGTCTTTGGTAACCTAAGCGTTAATTTAGCTGATACTTAGCTTTTTTATGACTGACTATGAATGCTTCTTTTTTCTTTTTGTAAGACTAGGAGTGTGTCCTTGTTATCTTGCTTTGGTAATATCTGATCTCACAATGATGCACTTGTGTCAGCTCCTTTTTCTACTCCAAGTTGTCATCTATTCTCTTTTGCTCTTCATGGGGAGATTAAGATAAAAAGTTAGAAGTGAAAAAATGTTTATTGAACATCAACTGCTGTAGAAACCAAATATGATCTACAGTCTTGTAACACTAACTTCTCCATGGCATGGTGAAATTATTTTTAATCTCAGAACAAGAAACTATTAAGTGTACTCAGATTACAATTCACTTTATAGCAAAAGAAAGGTATATTTTCTTTAATGTTGTTTAAGACAGTCTAGCATTAAAATCTTTGCATTCTCTGGAATAGACTGTATACACATCTGGTTATAGATTTCCACCTCAGTTCTCAATCTTATCAAGAAGCTATAATTGCAATAGTTTGCTTAGGGCTTGAGGAGAATTTATTATTTATTTGGAGGTGAAACTCTCGTGATTGTATTCTTAATAGAAACTCAAGTGTTACTGTACTAATAGATATTTATTCCAAAACATTAAGCTCTATATAAATTCTTTTCTTACATAATCTTTTCAGGATTGGCCTATCAAATTCTCTTGGATGTCTGTAGATTTACTCTTATCTTTTCTTGCTCTTGATCTCATTATGAAAAAGTGTATCTTGTTACTAACTTTGATTTGGCAAGTTTATGGCTTAGTGGGAGGTGCATCATGCTTAAGCTCGTGATTAGTATTGATTTCCCAACCATATTATTTTGCCTTTGAAGCAAAATTTTCACTGCTATTAGGTTGCAGGATTGTCATTAGTACAATGTCAAATATTAAAGAAAATTAATAATATATCCCTGCGCGTCAAGAGTCTATTGCAACATTGGTCGCTCGCGTGTCGGTGGCTCCACAGCGGATCCCAACTCTTGCTTCCGTGCAACGGTCGTGGAGAGGCGGCACGTGCGAGTCACGCCGCGCGAGGAAGCCGGGTGCAACAGTCACGGCAACGGTCATATTGGCAAAAGGCGTTATGATTACCACCACTCGCAACGGTCGGAATCCAACCCCGCCTTCCTCTCCGTCCGATCCACATCGGGCGGTCGCCCGTCGTCAAGCCGACAGTGCCGGGAATCCCACTTTGGCAGCTGTTGGCGTTTTTTCCATGGAACGGTGAGTCCGTCGCACACTCACTCGCCCGGCACAGTAGCGGAGCAGCGGGAGGGACCGGAAGGAGGAGCAGCGGCGGAGGTGGAGGAGGAGGAGGAGGAGGAGAAGAAGAAGAACACACAGAATAATCTTTGATTTCGTTGCTTCTTTAATCTTCCTCATGTTTTCCAAATACACCTGAATTCGAAGTCTGCCTTCTACATTTTTCTCTTCTCCTCTTTGTTTTTGGGTTTGGTTTCTGGAATCATGGAGGTCGCGGAGATATCTGGTGATGCCTCAGAGGTTCCCATGGCTACCGGGGAATCCGCACGAGCTTCGCTGTGGGACGTCCATGGCTCTGTGCTTGGCTCCTCCCGCTAATGTTTTGGGATCAAGATTTGTTCTTCTAACCATTCTTTGATTCTTTTTGACTTGGCTTTCAAATCTCTCCTCCACTCTTTCTCTCTGTTCTCGAATAAAAAAAATCGCCTTTTTTACTAATTTTTTGAAGCAATTAGGCGGCACACACAGCACGATAGGAAGAATTTGCATCGTTTTATCTGAGAAAGAAGCAGAGTTGGACGAGGAGTAGAGGATGTTGGCTGGGTGCTCATCGACGCTGCTGTCGCCGAGGCACAAGTTGAGGATCGACGCTTCCGTGCAGTTGCAAGCCTGCCATTTCCAGTTACAGGAGAAGCATTGCCCTCCGCAGCAGCAGAAGATGGGTACCCAGCGACTCGACCTGCCCTGTGGCTTTGCCTCCCGGAAGGATCCCCTGAGGGTGGCGCTGTCGGTGGAGAAGCCCGCGGCGGAGGCTCGGGGTACCAGCTGCTCCTTTAGGCGGAACCCGGTGACACACTCTTCATCGTCATCCATGGTGGCTCGGACGTCCTCGTGGGGAGGAACCGGAGAGATCGATGGAGGCCACGGCGGACCTTGGGAGCGACGGAGGAGCTCGAAGAGATTCCATGAGAGGGGTTCGTGCGACGACTACCGAGCCAAGAGGACGAGGACCGGCGGCATAGCAGGATTGGTCGACGTCGAGGGCGAGGTATGGCTCCCTCAGTCCACCCAGGAGCCTCCATTGGTGGAAGGGGAGAAGGT